CACCTGGACCCAGCTGTGGAGGTGACAGAGGCCTCTTTGGAAGAAGGGATTTCCAAGTCCCTTGCCCAACTCCTGAGGCCCAGGCTTCTGCCACTTCCTCCTCCACTTGTCTTCTCTGCTTTAACCAGGTAACACGAACTGAATGGAACTGCTGGTGGCCCATGTGGCCTCACTCCCTCTCACAAACTTTGTGCCCCTCCACCTGATCTTTGTTAATATGCAAAAGAGTCAGACACTTGATTTTTCACGATTTTCATAAATGTGTAATATCAGATAACGAGATAGTAGGTCAGTAGTAGGTATGTTGTTGTTGTTGTTGTTATGTGCCGTTGAGTCGGCCCCGACTCATAGCGACCCCTCCTTGGGTTTCCGAGGCAGTATCACTACGGAAGTAGGACTGCCCAACCTTCCTTTCGAGGAGTGGCTGATGGATTTGAACCGCCAGCCATCTGGTTAGGCAAGTATCTTAGCCACTATGCTAACAGAGCTCCCAGTAGTAGGTATATGACCTCCAAACTGCTTATATACACATGTGAGTAACAAGGTACAATCTTTACACAAAATATACAAATGCCTAAAGGATTTTCTTTGCCTTGTCCCATATTATTTCATATACCGCTTCTTTTTCAAATGAGCTTACTATTTTATATTAACATTGACTCAAAAATCTTTCTTAAAATTGAAGCATCATTTTTCAATTGCTAAACCATATTCTACGGTTATTCTTAACATGGAAAACAAAGTTCACATCATTTCTCTACTGATCTTGTTTAAATGGTGACAAATTAGAGATTTATGTAAGATACCTTGTAGCTACGATCAGAGACTAATCTCCCCCCCCCCAAAAAAAGTAGAGAAAGAAATAAGCATAATGTGAGGGCACTGTTGTTGTTGTTATGTGCTGTCAAGTCAGACCCGACTCAGAGCGACCCCTCCTTGGGTTTGCGAGGGCATTAAATTAGTATTTATTAAGACAAGAAAAACAGTATTAGTATCCATTCAGTAACCCCACCTATGAGCTTGATTACAGAAATATAATGGGGCTCAGATTTGGATTATGTATTTAACCAAGCAGAGTTATTATTTCTTTTGGACAATTTTTTCCCTTGTAATACTATAGAATAATTTTACCCCAATACACAATGTTCTACCTATAATACCAGTTGCCATGGAATTGATTAGAATTCATGGCAACCCCATGAATGTCAGAGTAGAACTGTGTTCCACAGGGTTTTCAATGGTATTTTTCAGAAGCAGATCTCCAGGTCTTTCTTTTGAGACACATTTAGGTGAACTTGAACCTCCAACCTTTGGGTTAGTAGCTAAGCATGTTAACTGTTAGCATCATCCAGTGACTCTCTTTGTTGAAGGGATTCCCAAACCTACTAAAGAATAATCTTTTATATGATGTCACTCTTAAATTCTTTCTAAAAAGATTAACAGAAGCACTAAGCAACTTCATACTAGAATGGCTGCACTGTGGAATGACAATACAGTTAACTTATCAATGGCCTAGTGAACTTAAAGAATGGTCCTAAAATTATTATTTTCAGAACAGCAAAAAAATCTATAAATCTGTAAATTTAACCACTGGATTAAATGCATTTACCAGTACTACCTCCCACTTCTCCATTCACTGTGATATAGATTACTATGCTTAGAAAATACCTGCTTCCGTAACTAATAAAAATAAAACACTTTAGGAATCAGAGTTTAAGTATACTGAATTTCTCCCACATTTGTTTCCGTTCCTTCTTCTATTAAATCTGTTTTCCTTCTCTTTAGATATTGGGCACAAATCATTATCTATTTTTTTGGGGGGGAGGTGATAAAAACTGTATAGTTTTAGAAATAGATTTTTACTTTTCTAGGTGGTATCCTAATTACTTATTTCCACTAGATTGGGCAAGGGCAAAAGTGATCTAGGGTATTAGAATTTATCAATAAAGATATGCTGAATATCCATGCAATCAGAAACACTCATGACTCTAGTTAGTATTTCGACTAAAATGAGGTGATGACAAATTTTCCAACAAATAATACATTAAAAAAAAAAGTCTCACCAAGATAGTAAGTCAATTCTATTGTTGTTGTTGTTATGTGCCGTCGAGTCGGCCCCGACCCCTCCTTGGGTTTCCGCGGCAGTATCACTACGGAAGTAGGATTGCCCAACCTTCCTTCCGAGGAGTGGCTGGTGGGTTTGAACCGCCAGCCGTCTGGTTAGCAGGCAAGTGTCTTAGCCACTATGCTACCAGAGCTCCCAGTCAATTCTATATACTTTTTAAATTCTAAGAAGCAGATAAAATATAAAAAACAATAAAAACAACAAGCTTCTCTTGTCATGTAAGCATGACAATGGTAGCCAGCCCCTCGTAACACCCCCGCCCCCATGGCGTAGTGCCTAAGGCATTTGACTGTTAACCAGAAGGCTAGTGGTTCAAACCCACCAGCCACTCCTTGGAAGGAAGGTTGGGCCACCTACTTCCGTGGTCATATAGCCTCAGAAACCCAAGGAGGGGTGGCTATGAGTTGCATGCGACTGGATGGCAATGAGTTTTGTTTTGTTTTTTAAATAACAATGATTTAAGGGAATTGGTTAAGGAAGTCAAATATAAACTACTGATTACATTTCATGACACTAAAGGAGTTTAGGAGCTATGGTAGGGTAGTGCCTAAGGTATTTGACTGCTAACCAGATGGCTGGCAGTTCAAACTCACCAGCCACCCCTCATTTGGGCAATCTACTTCCTTAGTGATACTGCCTCAGAAACCCAAGGAGGGGTCACTATGAGTTGGTCCCATTTGATGGCAAATAACAACAAAATAACAAAGGAGTTTAATTGTTATTATCAAAAACCAAATCTACTACCATTGTGTTGATTCCGCAATGACCTAAAGGGCACAGCAGAACTGCCTCATTGGGTTTCAAAAGCTGTAAATCTTTTCTCCTGCAAAGTGGCTGGTGGGTTCAAACCACAGACTTTTTGGTTAGCAGTGCAATGCTTCAACCACAGTGATACCAGAACTTTTTAACTGTTGTTAGGTGAAGTATAAAAGTTTTCACTATTTGACACAGGGCTGGGAATCCAGAATGGTGTCTATGTTAGAGTATGACACAGGCACATACTACATATTTAACTGAATCCTGAAAAATATTTCATTTAATTTTGTAACACTATAAAATCTTACTTTTTTAGCTTAAGTATATAAAATAAGCTTCAACTTTGTTATATTGCACATACAGTTTAGGCCCTAAAAAGGTGAAGAAAAGCAGCCAAATTTAAACATGCATGTTTAATTAAACTTCTTGCAAAAATTGAGTACTTCACAGGACAGTAAGATTCCTACTGTTATTCTTACATGCATTGTTAATGACAATGGTCAAGCTAACCACAGAGCTAATATGTCATGTATTCAATAAACTATAGGTAACAGATGAGCAGAAACATTTAAAATGCAAGCTAAATAAAACAATATTTGAAAGAAGCACTTCATTGGTTACAAAAACACCTGTAATATCAATAAATACATAAACAAACAAAAATATGTATGATGATAATACAAGTAACACATTCTACTTATAACTTGGTTGGTTTGCACAAATTAAAATGTAATGCAGAAATCATAACCATTAGCAAAACTCTACATTTAACTTCTATGACTTTTAAGTATTAACAAGGATTTCCCTCTCCCTTTTGCAAAGTGTCTCCTTTTTTAAAATGGAATGATTAACTAGAAATGATTTATGGATTACCTCTCTACAAAGAAGTTATACACTAATTCAAAACAATATATTAATTCTTGAGAATCTCTGGCAGTATAAAAGGCCTCAAAACAAATAAACAAAACAAAGCTGACGATAATTCTTGGAACATAATTTTTCTTACTTTCAGTCTTTTTGAATAGCAATCTGAAACGTTTGTAATTATTTTTTAAAACCTGTAAATCTGTTCATGAGTTCAAACTTGAATCTTTGCAAATCACCAGTCAGCTAGATAAATTGTTAATTTCTATGCTCTTGAAGTTTTTACCTTTGAATAAAGGGAAACTTCTTAGTCAAGGTAAAAGCCATTGATTGGGTCAATCCTCTTATCTACCCCCTCCAGGAAAAACAAAATTAGCAAAACCACCTTCCCAGCTTTTCTCTTTAAAGATTAGAACAAGTAGTTCATCTATTTTTCTTTTCTTTTTGTCAGCTCTCCTTGCCCTATGGAGCCCTGGTGGCGCAGTGGTTAAGTGCTCGGCTGCCAACCGAAAGGTCAGCAGCTGGAACCCACCAGCTGCTCTGCAGAAGAAAGATAAGGCAGTTTGCTTACACAACCATTTACAGCCTTGGAAACTCTATGGGGCAATTCTACTGTCTTGTTCTACATACATTTGGAATCGAGTGGAGGGCAAAGCATTTTTTGGTTTGTTCTTGCTCTGAACTCTCCATGGCACCTTTAGCCCAAACCAAGCCTAGCTCTCACCAAGACTACTAAAGCCATGTCTCCAAAAGACGCACAAGTGGCGTTTCGAGTCAAGTCTGGGAGCAGTAAGGCCCCCTCAGTTTTGAGATCCTTCTCCCAGAATCTTGCATTCGCTTAGTTCAAGTGTGAAGAAGAGGGACCCGCAAGGTTGGACTCGAAAGGGCCATGCCGGGGCCTAGACCGCTGCACGTTCCCCGAAGCGACTCGCACCGGGTCAAGAGAGATAGGGGGCACAGAGAACCGGACACCCAAGGCCAAGGACGTCCAGATAAACTCGGGAGACGTTTGGACTTGGAGCGCAACGCCCGGGACCACCTACGCTGCCTCCTTTACCCTCCCCTCCCCCATGCTGGATAAGGAGGGCCCGGGCCCGGTAAGGGAAGGGGGAGGAGGTAAACCCGTCCTGTCACTGCACCGGGAGAAGCTGGAAGGAGCATATGCTCTACGGAGAGAGGCTGCAGCCGCCACCTGCCCCGGCCCCGAAAGTCAGACACCACCTCCACCCCCACAGTTCGGTTTCCTGCGCCTCACCAGGTCGTAGTCCTCCTCATCATCGCACATGAAATCATCCTCCATGTCAGACATCTTGGCCGGGAGGGGGGAGGGGGAGGAGAAATTGGAGACAACCTCCTCCCACAATCCTCTGCGGCGCACTCCCGGCTTCTCCTTGCCTTCCCGTCGCACTTAGTAGAGCTAATTGTTTCCTCCCGGAACAAATGTGTTCCACCTTAAGAGGAATCGCTACGACGCCAAAAGACAGTGCACCGTCCCCTGTTTCTGAGAGACGGTTGGTGCCTTAGCAACTTAACCTAGCAACTGGGAAATCGTGAGGCCTAAGCTGGTGCTGCGGGTCGATTTTCAGGGGCCTTGGAAACCTGGCGCTCACATAGAGCAGTTTCCAGCCTCCCACTCAAGAGAACAGTCTCATCCTTTACCTGGGGCACTGGAACCATCTTCTGCTAGGGAAAGTGAGGGACAGCCCAGGACCAGAAGCGGAGGAAAAGCTGACATGCCTGTACTATATGACAGGTAGTATTATCTCTGCCATTATCTATATATATTTAACCCACACACTGCGGTATGTGTTCCTTTAATGTTTGGAGACCCTTTTAGCAACACATTTTACATGTAAGCTTTGTTATATTTGTAGTTGGTGAAACGGTTCTGTGGATATTTTTAAGTATTAAATAAAGTAAGCATCAGGGCGAGGCGCTTAAAGTATTAATTCAGTTTTTCAGCGAATTGTAAACTGACCCTTAATGCTCTTGGGATCGAAATTTTAAGGTACCAATTAACGATCGCTTTTTAAAAGAATGCATTATTGTTACACAAAATCATTAGCAGAAGTTGAAATAAAGGAACAAAACCTGCTTTTCAAACATTTTCTGTATAAATTTCCAGTTCTGTCCACATGAATCCATAAATACTATATGTTGTTGTTGTTGTTATGTGCCGTCGAGTCGGCCCCGACTCATAGCGACCCCTCCTTGGGTTTCCAAGGCAGTATCACTACGGAAGTAGGATTGC